CTATGCCAGAATTTTATACCAGATCGAATTTTACAATTTTTTGCTTGGTTTTAAACGAAATCTGGAGCAAACTTTTACTTATGATACCCGTAATTGACAAGCGCGCAAACATGATATGATATTGCAGACGGACCAGCTGTAATGCGCTTGGCGACTCATTCTTTTATAATTCCCCAGCGCCAGCTTCTGTTTCTGTTACTGCTAAACGTCGAATTGTCACTACTTGAACGAATCTGGCAACATATTCCTTTGACCATTGTCAATGAGAAAAATATAAAATACATGTGCTTGCGCCGTTGAATACTGTTTGCCATAAGTTCATAACGTCTCACTTTAACCTATGCTACATATATCGTAATATCGATTCCAACATCAAATCCATCTTTGTAGTGTTAAATCGTGTTATTTAATTTTTGCGATGCCCCGCGCAATTCTTGATCATCCGAGGTAGTTAAATTTTCATTTCGCCCGCGGTTTATCTGAAAATGTTACAGTAGCTTTGGAACATTACTTTGTTAAGACTTTGAAACAAGTGATCTGTTTCAGGTGTATTTGGTCTATTTTACCGGCTTAACCGAATTATGATTGGTTACATGTTTTGATGCCATCAAAGATATATTTCGATTGGCTGAAAGATAATTGGTCATGAGATGTGCACGTGTACGCTTTGCCAATACAAAGATGACCTTTGATACAAATGACAGCTGCGGGTCAGGACAGCATTGCCCATTAACTTAAATTTATAATATATATAGCTTAATTACAAACTAATTTTTGTTCTAAATATTTTCTAAGTTTATTTCCATTATAGTAAAAGCATTCTTCCGTTTTTGTCATGTAAACTACGTCTGCCTCATATTGTCCCAAAGCGTACATCATTTGAGCTGGATTGACAAACTCAACGGACAACAGGGTTTAACATCAAATTCTGCACCCCCGCATAGATGTTAGTAGTTGCAATTATATGTTGAAGTTGTTGGTTGCATGGCCCGCAACCGGCATGAAAGTAGGTTTCATCAACATGATATTTTTCATCCAGCGTAAATGGTTGGCATCGAACTACGGTTGTATCACTTCGTCACAGTATTTGTATACAGCAAAAGTCAAATGGTACTAAGATAAATTTATTCTTTCGAACAGCAATGCGTTTTATCCATTCACACGGAATTATATAGAATGATCCGGGTTTAAACAAACTGTGTCTTTCTTGAATTAAGACCAATCAATGCAGTGTTTGATGTTTTTCATCCAAATCATCGACAGCTAGGATATCCCGAACATCAACTAAATTTCCCCCAACCATGTTTTATCGGCAAGCCAATACTCCTCAATTGTACTGTCGTTCGTATTGACCTTATACTTGTAAGTACGCAAATATCTGCATGTCGAATACATAATATTATATTGGGTGATAAATAATGTAACATTTTAACAACGCACCAAGCGCATGAAGGGCAAGAAATGGGTGGGGGTTTACACCATGTCTTTCATAATATGTGCCAATATCCGATTGAGGTTCTTCTTTCTTGCACACATCCATCTTAGAAATTTTCGATTTGAGTCGTTTTAAAGCTTGTCAATTTAACACAAATGTCATATTTCACTCGCTAAATATACTTCTAATGAACCGAGCAAATATTTCAACTTAGTGTTTTGAACAATGATAATCTCCTGATAAATGATAAGGGCAACATTTTGTGACAATACCATATTTGGTTAATAGCTGATCATACTTTTCACAACTCAGTATTTCAAGATTAATGGATTTAAACCCCATGTGGTTCAATAAATCTCTTTCAATTGTTCCACCCTTATAAGCAATTAAGCCAGCATTCTGAATAAATTCCTGTCTCAAAAGCATTTTCATTTCATAACGATAAAAATCATGATTATACCGATCCCATACAATGGGTAGTCCATGAATATTCTTTATCTGCTACCGTACCTCATAATATTTTTCACTAATAGTGGTGTTAGGCAAATATATCTGATCCGATGTACACCCCCATTATAACATTACAAACCGAAACTTCACGAAATAACACTTTCCCCTTTACCATATATGTTTCACAGTCTATCACATGTGTAATACGAGACGCAATTGACTTCTTATATTGATCTAGCAATTCAACTTCGCTATCGTTTAATTGATTGTGTTTCCTCTGAAACAATTTTTCTACATGTTCACCCATTGCTAAACAGTTGTTACTAAAAAAGTAAATACTCAACACAATTTCATTTTAACATAGATTTATTAACTATTTCACTACATTTACAATATCCCAAAGCACAGCTACATTCTTTTAAAAACAAATCTTTATTTTCTAACATCATAATATAATATAATAAAAATGTCTGTACAAAGTATGGGGAAGTTAAGCGTATACCCTTGTATATTATTGTGTAGTGTTGTATAGTCTTGTATAATGCTGTTAGTGTCGTATAGCATTATATTGTGTTGTATAGTTTTGTATAACATTGTATAGTGTTGTATAGTGTTGTATAGTCTTGTATAATGTCGTATAGTCTTGTATAACTTATCTTATCTATAATTAACATTGTATAGTATCGTATAGCCTTATATAGTGTCGTATAGCCTTATATAGTGTCGTATAGTGTTGCATAATGTTGTGTAGTGTTGTATAGTCTTCTTTAGTGTAGTATACTGTCATGTATAATCTTGTATAGTGTCATAATTTTTGTAGTCTTGCATAATGTTGTATAGTGTTGTATAGTGTCTATAGCCTTTATATATTGTTATATAGTCTTGTATATGGTGGTTTATAGTGTCGTATAGCCTTGTATATTATTGTGCAGTGTCGTATAGTGTTGTATACTCTTGTATAGCGTCGTATAGTCTTCTATAATGCTGTGTAGTGTCGTATAATCTCGTATAGCCTTATATAGTGTTGTATAGTCTTGTATAGTGTTGTAAGTTCATTAATAAGTTCACCTGCTATCAAGATATGTAGCTTTTGACAGTTCTTTGTATTATACAGATAGACAGGATATATAATTGTGTTATGGTACATATAATAGCATTATGGTATACATAATAATGTTATGTTTCCATTGTTAATAGTATTAACAGTCCTTGGCTCTTGTGCATTATATTTATCCATCATTAATAGTGTTTTTTAACTGGGAGTCATTCCAGGTTATTACTCTAGAAGTGATCACACTTGACTTTGTGTCTAAGAATATTGCAAAATCCGCAAATTAACCTTAGTGACAATCTCATAATAGCTAAATGTGTGGCATTATACATATATTGTTGGAGAAATAACCAGAGGAATGACCCATAATTACTTAATTTCTATTAGCTACTACGCGCTGCCATAATAACCCCAGATGAACGTCGAAGCGTAGGACATCCAAGACGTCACAACATACTAACAAAAATTGCTAATGAAGCATCGAATAAGGATGAACTGCTAATATACAGTCCAAACTTGATACTCACAGCTGCTTATGGCAATGAAAAGAAAAGAAAAACAATCGTTACGAAATATGGTAAAGACATAGATAGATACATAGAGACTTTATTTAAAGAGGGTGACACTTAATAGTACGAAGTACTAATGAACTTGTGGCCCTCATAAAATATTAGGGAGTATATCTATTGTCTATTTACAACATTTATATATATATATATATATGTATATATCTATGATTATAAATCGATATTCAGACTTTCAAGTTTACTTAATTAAAAAGGTTATATTACATGAGGGTATATATGACATTACATTTATATAAAAGAGAACATTATATAGCTATATTATAATTATATATTACTTAAATTTGAAATCAGGAAAAGAAGTAAATTGTTTAAATTCATTCTGGTGCGTATGGAAGCAATTATATAATAAGTATTTAAAATAGTTAATGGAGCTAGCTGAACGGAAACTTGAAGGTAATTTGTTCCAGAGGCCTATAGCGGTTATAGAAAAAGTTCTTCCTGCTTCTGTAGCTCTATTGTATTTCGGAGTTACTAAACTTAAATCAGCATTGCGAGTGTTCCTCGAATGTTGTTGGCTATTTAAATTTAATAGTCTGTTTAAGTACTCTGGAGTAGCATTAGTAGTACGCTTGTATGAATGAATGTAAAACAAACAGTACACAGCCTATGAAATGATAACCGATATGAGAAAGAAACCACTTGAAAAGATAAAAAAACAAAGAGAGATTCTAGAAAAACTGAACTCAACAGAATCACTACTTTTAGAAATACTAAAAAAATAAAAATGTAATCATTGTAAAATAAAAAAACATTGTGTAAATTATTAAGACAGATTTTAATACATATTTTACCAACAAATATTTGATATGTGTTGATTTTTATTGAAAAAAGTAGGTTTGATATATGATATATGTTGTGATTCTTATTGAAAAAAGTGGATCGCTACCCCAAAAACCCCGATTTCGACAGAAAATACCCAATTCTCACCAAAAACACCCTATTTAATGATATCTTTTCCGGTGACATAACCCTTTGCAACAATATCCCTTCCGGCGACATCACTTCCATTCTTCGTGCCTTTAAGATAGGCACTCTTCACTCCAGTCGACCAAGGCTTTGGTATCACATCTCTGCCACACATGCGCAATGCAACCCTTGCTTTCTTAATTTCTTAAGTTAATGGTGGTCACATGTACCAAAAAATATCCCCCCTCCGTGGAGCCCTAGCCAACGCCCTGTCACACCCTTTTTTCCTTCTCACGTAATACAATTTTATATTAAAATCAAATACTGTTCACACCCCCCATTTTTTTAGAGGTTTTCTCTACAATTACTACTTCTATTGCTGGACACGAGTTGTCCTGGTGAGGTCATGGATTGCCACAACGAAAACAAGTTTTATGGCTTGTTGTATCCTTTAAATGCTGTGGTTGCCGAGGTATACTTTGTCGTCGATTTGTAGGTGGTTTTATTGGTTGGAGCTGACTTCGTGAACTTTATATTCGGCAGATGTTGTAGCATTCGCACCCTCGATTCCTCAGGGTTGTCGTTCAGTTTCATCTAATGTTCTTGCATAAAGAAGCAAGTCGTCGAGGTTCACACTAGGATTTCGGAAGGAGTAACGACGCAGCTTTTTATTTGATGTGCCAAGTTCAATTTGAACTTTGATTTCTTTTCCTTGATTCTCACCAAATTCACAATATTTGGCGCCTATTTGCAAACTTGTATGGAATTCGTCCATTGTCTTGCCATCTTCTTGTTTCATGTTGCGGAATTTAAATACCTCAAAAGAAACGTTCTTTCGTGGAGTTAAATACTGAGTTAATGCTTCACAAGCTTTTTTGAAGTCTTTCTCATCACCACAGTTAAAGTGTCGAATATATCATTCACATCTTTACCGACATAGTGTAAAAAAGCAATGCTCGCTTGTGGCTTGGATCGGTAATGGCCATAGCCGTCATCAGATTTTTGAACCAGTTTAAGTATGTTCCCATCCTACAGCAAGATTGTACTGATCTTTGATATCAAATTGTTGAAATGAAGGAATTGCAGTCATGATTTAACAGCATCCTCGTCGCCAATATAGAATTGCACATGCTTTCTTTTTCAAATCCCTTTAATTCAATATATTGTACATACATGAAGTAGCATGAATATGAACACCATACAAACAAAGGACTTCAACTGTATCCAGTTAGGGCACTTCCATAATCAAGTTGCCACACAACACATTGATCAAATTGACCTATTAACCAACCTATAATTTTACCTATTGACCGACCCACTCAGCTTTAAAAACGTCAAGCATGGCATACAAAGGAAATTGAAATCAACCCTCTATACCCCATTCCATTGATTTCCTACTACATTGTACTATTACCCTCTGATGTTAGACATAGTAAAATCAAACGGCACTGAAAAAATCCAGCTTTGATGTAACCAACACCTTGTGTTAGACTGAGGGTGAAAAAAAATCAAAGTAGGGTATGTAAGTGCTATAATGGTAAAGTGCATGAGACATCCTTTTCCGGCAGATAATTTCAGCAAATATACTAGATAAATATAAGTATAATATAATATAACGACATATCTTGTGAAACACTGCTGAAGGTGAATCATATTTGATTCAAAACATACAGTTTTTATAAATTGTGTGTTAATTATTATTATATAATGCACTCCTTATTCAGAATAACTTTTATTCTACGACTATTGCCCAGGTATTTATAAGCATATGAACAATTGAGGATTGAGTAGATGCCAAGCTATAATATATTATTTAATTTTGAAACAAGAAACACTGGAATCTGGCAATCTGTCATATACACAACTATACTATTTGGCATTATGATATTTGTGGTGTTACTCTGAGTGTATATCCACACCGGGCGAGCTTGAAAAGTATGCCCGGCCACGGTGGGATTCGAACCTGCGACCTTTGGAATACCAGCCCAATGCTCTGCCAACTGAGCTACGCGGTCAGGACGGTTCGAGTAAGTGATATTTCGGAACAGAATCTAGTTCCTTCGA